GATCAGTGAGCTCAGCTGCCGTTCAGAGGCGGGCCCGTCTCTCAAAGTGCTGGGTGCCTTCGCAGAAAGTTCTCTTGAGTGTGTTTTTGTAGTTTGGAAAAACATGTAAGGTCAATCCTGGAAATCACTTAAACTTTCAGATTTGATTATAAAAAGATTTACAATAAGAACAAATGGAATATTAGAATATATATGCATACATGTGAGCCCGGCAAGCTACCGAGAGTATTCCATATGCCAGACACAGTAACAACAAAGTCTCCAATGGAGACGTTACTGGTCCCGCTCGAGCAAATATATATATATATATATATATTTTTTTTTAGGAGGGTGCAGTGAGATAGTATAGCAGGTAAGGCACTCTGTGGCTAACCTGGTTTCAATTTCCCGGGCACTGCCAGGAGCAAGCCCTGAGCACTGGCAGGTAGGACACCAAAACCAAAATATATAGAATGATTATTTAAATGTACTGGGGCCAGAGAGTAGGACGTTTGCCTTGCACGTGACCAACCCAGAATTCAATCCCTGGCATCCCATATGGTCCCCTGAGTACCACCAGGAGTAATTTCTGAGCGCAGAGCCAGGAGTAACCCTGGAGCATTGCCAGATGTGGTAAATTATAAAAATTATATAAATTATGTTTATATAATTTATAATTTTATAGCACTGCCCTCCCATTGTTCATCGATTTTTTCGAGCGGACACCAGTAATGTTCACAACAAATTGTGAGACTTGTTATTGTTTTGGCATATCGAATACATCACGGAGAGCTTGCCAGGCTTTGCCATGCAGACAAGATACTCTTGGTAGCTTGCCGGGCTCTCTGAGAGGGGCGGAGGAGTCGAACCCAGGTCGGTCGCATGCAAGGCAAACGCCTTACCCTCTGTGCTACCGCTCTAGCCCATAATTTTATAATTTATATAAATCATATAAAATTATACAAACTATTAAAAATATAATTTTAATATTATTTAAATTATAAATTTTTGATGAATATCTATTAAATTTTTATAATTTTTCTTATGAATATATAGAAATAATATGTGTGCATGTTATCTATGATTTATTTATTCACTCCCCTTCCCTGTTCTTTTTTGCTGTTCAGATTCACACACCAGCTCACACACCCCTGATGGTGTAGTACTAGAGATTCCATTCTGCAGCCCTGGGGGGTCTCGAATAGTGGCACCAGCAAGATAGCACTTGGCACACTGGGGCAGTGCTGGGGATCGAACTTGTGGCTTTCTGCTAACCAGGCACTCAAGAGAGAGACAGAGACAGAATAGTTTATGTATACTTCTGCTACAGAAGAATTATACCTGTTCTCTTTTTGGGGGGCATACCTGGTGGTGTTCAGGGGTTACTCCTGGCTCTGTGCCCAGGAATCTCTCCTGGCAGTGCTCAAGGGACCATATGGGATGCCGGGGATCAAACCGGCAGTTGGTCACATGCAAGACAAATGCCTTCACCCGCTGTGCCATCTCTCTCTCTGGTCCTCACTGACCTATTCTTAAGCCCCCCCCCCCCCAACAGACTTGGAGCATTTTCTCCCCCTTTCAGAAGATCATACATGCTCATTTTCTTTTAAGTTTTTGTTAGTGAAACACCATGAGGTACAGTTGTAGACTTACAAATTTTTGTGCTTGAGTTTCGATTATACTATGTTCGAGTACCCATCCCTCCACCAGTGCCCATTTCCCACCACCACTAATCCCAGTATCCCTCCCACCCCCCCATCCCCCCATCCCACCTTTCCTCTGTGGCAGGGCATTCCCTTTTGTTCTCTCTCTCCTTTTGGGTGCTGTGGTTTGTAAAAGAGCCATTGAGTAGCAATCATGTTCGGTCCATAGTCTACTTTCAGCACGCTTCTCCCATCCTGGGAGGATCCTCCCAACCTTTTATGTGGTGCTCTCTTCTCTATCTGATACATGCTCACTTTGTTCTGTTTTGTTTTAGAGTCACACCCACAGTTCGGGGGTCATTCCTTGGGGTACTTGGGTAGCCATGTAGCAGCCAGGCATCCCAGGGGCAAAGCATGTGCTCCAGCCTCTGAGCTGTTCTCTGGCCCAGATTAAACATGCTCTTTGAAAAGCAAAGGAGGAGACCCTTAGAGTCTAATGCTGGAGGTCTGAGCTTTTTCTCCCTGGGAATAGGTGTGTCGTGTCATGTGATTGGGTGGAAACTCTTAAAGTGAATCACAAATGTGTGGCCTGCAGGATTTTGTTTCTGTTTGCGGGGGTTGAAGTCACATCCAGTGTTGCCCAGGGGCTACTCCCACTCGCTGCTCGGGGACCTTGCAGGTCCGGGGGTAAACCCAGGGCCTCTCACTGGCGAAGCACGATCCCTTTGAACACTCAGGCCCTGTCGTGACTTTCCCCCGCAAAGCAGAAGGAAAATCCTTCAGGGAGTAGACCAAATCCAGAGCGTGAGGCCGTGGTTTCACAGCATTCTCTGTGATGTGGAAGTCTTTTTTTTTTTTTAGCTAAACTATTCTTTTTACTTATTTTAATGTAGATAAGAGCCACAACTGTTACTACAGTCCTAGAATTAAAATTGGTTATGTGAGATGATTGCCACTCAATTCCTCTGTTGCAAACCACAACACCCAAAAGGAGAGAGAGAACAAAAGGGAATGCCCTGCCACAGAGGCAGGGTGAGATGGGGGAGTGGGGGGTGGGAGGGATGCCGGGACCCGTGGTGGTGGAGGATGGGTGCTGGTGGAGGGATGGGTACTTGATCATTGTATAACTGAAACCCAAGCACAAAAATTTGTAAGTCTACAACTGTACTTCATGGTGTCTCACTAATTTAAAAAAAACTGGTTATGTGACAAAGCTCCAGTATTGAAATCGATAAAGATAATTAAACTTTGTTACATGGGAAAGTTGTTATATAACTCATCACAGAGTTGTTCAAGCCCTTGCCCAAGCTGTTTGTTGCTAGCTGACCCTTCTGTGTTAATTGGTTTTGTTTGTTGAGTTCAGTTGGTGTCTTTCACTTTCCCATCGAATTTGCTGTGGAATTTCAGTGTTGAGGAATTAAGAGGGGTCCAGAGACTTCGGGGTCTCTAGTCTGGGCCAGTGAGGGGGTTGTAGATGGGCGTGTCTGTGTGGTGGGCGTGGCTTGTGGGTGGGGCGTGGCTCTTGGGTGGGCGTGGTTATTGGGGTGTTAGTGGCTGCTAGAACTATCCCAGATATAGGAATTGGAGGAGGCTGCCCACCCAGACTCTGAGAAGATCCCAGAGCCTGGACACCACACCGAGGTAGCTGCAGTTATTGGCAGTTTGGCGTCTTTGCAGAGAGTATTTGTGAAGTGGTGGAGTTGGGCCCTGGGCTGGCTGCAGTGGTGGGGTGTGGGGGCGGCGGCAGGGCGGGGACTTGGCTCGCCCTCTTCCTGGAGGTCTTTTTCTATACTTCCAGTGCTGCTCGAGATGCTGACGTGACGATCAATAGGAATCAGCGCCCCCCAGCTCTCGAATGGCCCCCGGGGCGGGAGGTGGGGGGTAGTCACCATACCAAGGCCAAGCTAGCCTGGCGGTGGCATTAGAATGCCAGCTTAGGGCCGGAGCGGTAGTACAGTGGGGAGGGCATTTGCCTTGCATGCAGCCGACCTGGGTTCGATCCCCAGCAGCCCATATAGTCCCCCAAACACCGCCAGGAGTAATTTCTGAGTGCAGATCCAGGAGTAACTCTTGAGCATTGCTGGGTATGATCCAAAAAGCAAAAAATAAAATAAAAATAAAAAATAGAGTTCCAGCTCAGCCCTGCCTGCCCCACTGCAGACTCAGAAATGCAGAGAGAGTATAATGGTAAGGCACTTGCCTGCCTTGGACACATAGGGTCAATCCCCAGCACCATGTAGGGTCCCCCAAGCCTGCCAGGAGTGATCCCTGAGCTCGGGGCCAGGAATAAGTCTGAGAGTGGGGGTGGGAGTGAGGGAGAGCCGGGGAGTGGTAAAAAGTCCCAAGACTCTGCAGGTTTCCTCTCCAGATAGCCCCGAGTCTTGTCTTGTTTGAAAAGGAACAACAAACCTTCCAGGACCTCACAGCCCAGCCCCACCCCGGGCAGTGCCAAGAGGGCACTCATGCCTGGCACATGCCCTCTATCACTTGCATTTTGTTTGGTTTGGGGGCCATCCTGGCTGTGCTCAGGCCTGACTCCTGGCTCTGCTCTCAGAGGTCACTCCTGGTGAAATTTGGGGTACCAGGGGTTAAACACGGGTGTGGTGCCAGGGATTGAACCCAGGTCTGCTGCGTGCCAGGCAAGCGCTTTGCCTGCTGTACTATCTCCCAGCCTCTGTCTTGCGCTTGTAAACTTCCATGTACAGTGAAGAGAACCTTTGAAACTGAATTTTTGTCCGTTTGGGGCCCTTCTGAGTAGTGCTTGCCCCTGCAAGGACCTGAGCTAGGCAAGCTCCACAGTTCAGTGAAAAGACCTGAGGGTGCCATACTTCTTGGGTACGGTGGTGCTGGGGAGAACCTGGGCCACTCTGGCGGTTCTGGAGGGACCCAGTGATGCTCCCTCCAGGGGACTACATCATGCTGGGATTCGAACCTGGGTCTTGTGCATATTATAGGCTAACCACTGTATATCCTCGCCCCGTCCCAAAGGTGAATTATTGAAGATGATTAGAAAGAAGCTCTTTAGATGTACTCACGGAGACAGGGTCCTTATTCATGGCTAGTTCTGGCCTTCATGTGCCATGAAAGAATGTATTTTTTAAAATTATTTATTTATTTATTTTTGCTTTTTGGGTCGCACCCGGCGATGCTCAGGGGTTTACTCCTGGCTTTGCACTCAGGAATCACTCCTGGTGGTGCTTGGAGGGACCATATGGGATGCTGGGAATCGAACCCAGGTCGGCCGCGTGCCAGGCAAAGACCCTACCCGCTGTGCTATTGCTCCAACCCCGAAAGAATGTATTTTAAGCAGCCGGGTGTTCTTCCAGTGTGTCAGGTTTCCGAAGCAGTCACCGTTTTCTCTCTTGTCTCTCTCCGCAGTTGGACAGAGAGAGGCGGAGGATGTGAGCGAGACAGGCTCGGAGAGAGAGATGGCCCTGAAACCCCCGGTGGCCGACGACCTCGGGAAGGACGGGCCGGAGGAGCTCCCCGAGATCATCGAACCGCTCCCCTCTTCCGAGAGCAACTTGGAAGAGCTGGCCCAGGCCCCCGAGTCCCAGAACAGCGACGTGGGCTTTAAGAAGGTGTTCAAGTTCGTGGGTCTCAAATTCACCGTGAAGAAGGAGAAGAGCGAGAAGTCGGACACCGTGCATCTCCTCACTGTCAAGTCAGAGGAAGGCGAAGGGGCCGGCGACCACCAGGAGGCCGGCAGGGAGGCGGAGGAAGCATCATCCGCCAAAGAGAGCGAGCTGAAACAATCCACAGAATTCCCCGAAGAGGCCCAGAAAGAAGCCGGGCAGCAGAGCACCCCACAGCCGGTGCCCCCCTCCGAGTCAGCCCCGGCTGCAGCGGCGGTGGCCGCGGCGGGGGTGGCCGAGGCCGGCCCAGAAAAGCAAGATCCAGAGCCCAGCGCACCCCCCGAGCCGGCCATCAGCCCCCCACCCAGCGACTCGGCCTCGCCCTTTAAGAAGTTCTTCACCCAGGGCTGGGCCGGCTGGAGGAAAAAGACCAGTTTCCGGAAGACCAAGGAGGAGCAGCTAGAGACTTCAGAGAAGAGAAAGGAGCCAGAGAAGGGAGAGGCGGAGGAGAAGGAGAAGGTGCAGGGAGACCTCCCCGAGGAGTCCCCGTGCCCCCCGCAGGGGACCCCCGAAGCCCGATTGTCTGCCGAGTATGAGAAGGTGGAGCTGCCCCTGGAGAGTGGCGCCCCGGGCTCCCTGGAGGGAGAGAGGGCGGCCCCGCTGGCCACGGAGGTGTTTGATGACAAGGTGGAGATCGTGGCCCAGGTCCACGTGAGCACGTCGGAGACGCCGGCCGAGGCACCCACGGAGCTGGTGGACGCCCAGCCCGAGCCTCTCCCAGCACCGGAGAGGCCAGAGGAAAACCAGGAGGAGTCCCAGGAGGAGGCCGCCAAGGGGCCGGGGACCCCCCAGGAGCCCCCGGCCACGGAGGCGGAGACCGTCGCCAAGCCGGATGATGATGGGAAACCCGCGGCAGCTGCACCCGAGAGCATCGTGAGTGAGGTGGACGCGGTGGTCGCGCAGGAGGCCAGCCGGGCGCAGGGCAGCCCCCTGAAGAAGCTGTTCACGAGCTCGGGCCTGAAGAAGCTGTCGGGGAAGAAGCAGAAGGGCAAGAGGAGCGGCGGGGACGAGGAGGCCGCTCCTGACTCCCCGGAAGAGCCCAAGGGCGAGAGCTCAGCATCCTCCCCCGAGGACCCCGAAGTCCCTGCGGGCGACCTGGCGGCGGCGGCAGCAGCAGCAGCAGCAGGAGAAGCCGAGGAAGGAGCCACTTCGGACGGCGAGAAGCGGCGCGAGGGCGTGACACCCTGGGCATCCTTCAAGAAGATGGTGACGCCCAAGAAGCGCGTGCGGAGGCCCTCGGAGAGTGACCGGGAGGAGGAGGGGACGGAGAAGGTCAAGAGCGCCACGCTGTCGTCCACCGAGAGCGCCGCGTCCGAACCGCCGCCACCCGAGGAGGAGCCCCGGCGCAAAGTGGACACATCGGTGTCCTGGGAGGCCCTGATCTGCGTGGGGTCATCCAAGAAGAGGGCCAGGAAGGCGTCCTCTTCCGACGACGAGGAACCGCCCAGAGCCCAGGCTGGAGACAGTGCGAGGCCCGAGGAAGTGGCCCGCGAGGACCAGGAGCCCGGGGATGCTGCAGGGCCGGTCCCCACCGCAGGGCCGCCGGTCCAGGAGCGGGGAGCTGCCCCCGCGGCCACCAGCACCAGCACCAGCACCGGCCCGGGCGGCGCATCCCCAGAGCCGGCCAGCAGCCCGACCGAGGGCGACGGCGTGTCCACCTGGGAGTCCTTCAAAAGGCTGGTGACCACGCGGAAGAAGTCCAGGACGAAGCTGGAGGAGAAGCACGAGGACGCGGCGGCGGCGGGGCCCGAACGCGCGGCCTCGGAGACGGAGGCGGCCCGGGAGGAGGCCTGGGTGTCCATCCGGAAGCTCATCCCGGGCCGCCGGAGGAAGAGGCCGGACGGGAAGGCCGAGGCGGCGGCGGCGGCAGCTGCGGGTTCTGCCGACGCAGCGGACGACGACCCCGACGTGCCCGCCGTGGTCCCCCTCTCCGAGTACGACGCGGTGGAGCGGGAGAAGCTGGAGGCGCAGCGGCGGGAGGCCTCGGCCCCCGGGGGGACCCCCGCGGCCGTGCACGTGCCCCAGGAACTCAGCCAGACGCTGGTGCACACGGTGGTGGTGGACGTGGTGGACGGTGCCCGCGCCGTGGTCTCTGCCGCTGCTGCAGAAGAGCGGTCCCCGTCCTGGATCTCGGCCGCGGTGTCCGGCCCGCGGGACCCCACGGACGGGGATGTGCAAGGCCAGGCCCAAGAGCCTCTGGCCAGCGAGATGCCCGCAGAGGATGCCCCTCTGCCTTGCGGCGGCGGCGCCCAGGACACCAGCGAGGCCGCAGTGACCAGCGAGGCCGCGGTGACCAGCGAGGCCGCGGTGACCAGCGAGGCTGTGGTGACCAGCGAGGCCGCGGTGACCAGCGAGGCCACAGTGACCAGCGAGGCCGACGGCATTTCCGAGGCCGTGACGGCGCCCGAGAGCGTGGCCGCCTTCGGGGCGGAGGAGGCCACCGAAGTGTCCGGCGCCGAGGAGACCGCCGAGATGGTCTCTGCCGTCTCCCAGCTCGGCGACTCTCGAGACACCACCGAGGAGGCCACCCCGGTTCAGGAGCCCGAAGGTGGCCTCCCCGACCCCGAGGAGCTGGAGCGGCGTACCCAGGAGGTCCTGCAGGCGGTGGTGGTCGCGGTGGGCCAGGCTGGGCGCCAGGAGGCTGCGGCGGCGCAAGACCTGACGGAACCCGAGGCCGAGCTGCCCGAGAGTGGACCCCAGCACCCCACCGACGGGGCTACCCCAGAGTCCGCGGAGCTGGCTCGCCCCGACGGTGGTCACACTGAAGGCCCCGATGGGGCCAGAGCTGAGAAGCCACTGGAACCAGCCCCCGACTCTGCCGATACCCTCACGGACAGCGAGACCAACAGCAGCACCCCCGTGGCTGAGGTGGACAATCTGGGGGCTCTTGACAAGCTTGTGACCCCCAAAGACGTGCCTCCGGCTGCTCCCAGCACTCAGCTCCAGGAAGGGGCTCCAGAACTTTCCACAGCAGCCGAGAGTGAGGGCTCCGGAGAAAACGCACCTGGCCAGCATGTGGAGTCGGCTGCAGAGGACCTTCCCCAAGAAGCCAAACCCCTCATGCACCAGGAGGAGAAGGAGGAGGAGGAGGAGGAGGAAGCGGACAAGCCCCCCAGGCCCGGGGAGACAGGGCTGGAGCCCCCCGAGAGAGGAACAGCCCTGGAGGGAGGCCAGGAGGAAAAAGAGGCCCAGGAGCTCACGCCCAGCCCGCCACTCCCCTCGGACCAGGAACTCCTCCATCCGGCAGTGGCAAGCCCCGTGCCTAGCCCGGAGGCAGCGCTGGTGCTGGTGGCCGCGGCCGTGGAGGAGCAGGTCTTACAAGGAGCCATGAAGATTCTCGAATCCCAGGAAGAGGAGGCTGGCCCGGAGGTGCGGGCAGCGTCGGTGCCCGTGCTCGAGTCTCTGGAAGCCCAGGACGTCGTCAGCGGCACCAAGGATGGGAATCCAGGCCCGGCGCTGGGGCAGAAGGTACCGGTGAGCGTGGCCGGCCAGCAGGAGGTCAAGGGCCAACAGCTAGTGGACAGTGCCCACCTAGACGCGGCCTCGGGTATCCAGGCCCAACCTGTCCCCGCCGATGGCCAAGCGGCCGTGGAGAAAGAAGTGACCCCACAAGCTTCAGCCCCTGAAGAGACCCCTCGGGCCAGCACCCCCAGAGAAGGGTCCCCCGGAGAGCAGGCGCACTCCCCAGACGGCAGCGAAGCGGCAGAGAGAGGCCTGGCCTCCCCGCCTCCCGGAGAGCGTGTCCTCCCGGCCCAGGGAAAGAAAGCCACCGCCGGAACCGTGTCGGGGATGGAAGGCGAAGGAGAGCAGCAGAGTGGGGGTCTCGAGACCCCCGGAGGCTCCAGCCGGGCGTCCCCCGATACCAATGAACTGACGCTGCAGGAGAAGGAAGACGGGCAGGTGGAGGTGCGCCCGGAAGGAAGCGCACCGAGAGAATGCGGAGACGGGCAGCAGCCGCAAGCGCAGGAGAACCCCCAGAAGCAAGAGCAGGACCCCGCCACAGCAGAGCTCGCGGATTCCTAAAGCGTCAGGTGAGGAGGCTCCTTTAGAGATAGTGTCTTGGGTCTGGAGTGATAGCACAGCGGCGAGGGCATTTACTTTGTACACGGCCGACCCGGGTTCGATTCCCAGCATCCCATATGGTCCCCCGAGCACCGCCAGGAGTCATTCCTGAGTGCATGAGCCAGGAGTAACCCCTGTGCATTGCCGGGTGTGACCCAAAAAGCAAAATAAAACTAAAGGCTTTGCTGTCTCCTTTAAGAACTGTGTCCGGGGGCTGGAGCGCTAGCACAGCGGCTAGGGCACTTGCCTTGTACATGGCCGACCCGGGTTCGATTCCCAGCATCCCCGATGGTTCCCCCAAGCACTGCCAGGAGTCATTCCTGATTGTATGAGCCAGGAGTAACCCCTGTGCATCACCGGGTATGACCCAAAAGCAAAAAAAAAAAAGTGTCTGAAAAAAAGAAGACTTAAAATAAAATTAATATTCTGAATTTTTTAAAAAAAAAGTAATGTGGAGTTCATGCTCAATTCAATCATCTTCATCAATGACTGAATAAATAGCAGTACTCCTACATTTAAACTGTCCTCCCATTGTTCATCGATTTGCTCGAGCGGGCCCAGTAACGTCTCCATTGGAGACTTTGTTGTTACTGTGTCTGGCATATTGAATACGTCACGGGGAGCTTGCCAGGCCCTGCCGTGTGGGCGAGATACTCTCGGTAGCTTGCCAGGCTCTCTGAGAGGGGTGGAGGAACGAACCTGGCTCGGCCAGGCTGGCTGTGCGCATTTAAAAAACATAATTAAATAAATAAGTAAAGACAGTGTCTGTCTCGGCCGCCGCCATTGTACAGTGGGGAGGACGCTTACCTTGCACGTGTCCGACCCGGGTTCCATCCCCAGCACCACAAATGGTCTCTGGAGCTCATCAGGAGTGGTCCCTGAGCACCTCCAGGTGTTGCCCCGAGACCAAACAGAAAAACAACCAAAAAAAAAAATGGGTTTGTCTCTTTCCCTCTCTCTTCTCCCTCTTGTTATTGGTTTGTTTCGTTTATCTTTTGTTGGGGGGCCCCACCTAGCGATGCTTGGGGCTGAAGAGATAGTATAGTGCGTCGAAGCTTGCTTTGCATGCAGCCAAGCAGAATTTGATCCCCGGCATCCCATATGATCCCCTGAGCACCACCAGGAGTGATTCCTGAGTGCAGAGCCAGGAGTAAGTTACCCCTGTGCATCGCCAGGTGTGACCCAAGAGGGGGAAAAAAAAATCACCCAGCAGTGCTCAGGGTTTAGTCCTTGCTCTGCACTCAGGGATCACTCCTGGTGGTGCTCCAGAGTGGGGTGTGAGGGAGCAAATGGGATGCCGGGATTTGAACCAGGGTCGGCCACAGGCAAGGCCCAAGTGCCTTCCTCACTGTCCTATCACACCAACTCCTGAATTTTCGTTTCTGACTTCCTCCCGCAGGCCACCGTCAGCTACAGGACCAGAATGTGAACGAGAGGAGCAGCAGGGACCCCCTGCAGACCTGAGACCCGCCCCCCCCATCCCCCAGAACTCGGGGCTCTGAGAAGGGGTGACGGCCATCGTGTTTCGCCGAAGCCCCGACAATCCTGAGGCTTCTTCAGGAGCTCTATAGCCATGTACCGCTCCCCCCTGCCAAGACCAACTGTATTCTCCTCCCCTCCCTCCCCCCCCGCCCCACCCCGTCACATACAGCGTTTCTGATTTAAGGCTCTTACCTGGGAACTGGAGTTGGCAATAACCTAGTTTCTGCTTCTCAAACTGGATGATCCGTCTCTTTGTATTTATATGTATGTTTTCAGCCCTCCTCTTCCTCCTCCTCCTCCTCCTCCTCATATCTATTGTATATTTTTTTTTCTTACTAAGGAAATGTGTTAATAAGGAAAGGCACCATGTACTGCATATCTGGGGTGGGTATCCCTCCCCCACCCACCCAGGGTAGGACGGAGCATGGATCCTTGGTGAAGTGCAGGGAAGATTGCATCCATTGTGCCCGGCAGAAACAGCATCCAGGAAATGAAATTCCACATCAGAAGAGCGTGTCTTCTGTTCACATTCACTGACGATTCGATCTGAGTTTATTGAGCATTTATGCTGAAACCGGCCATGTTCCTCTCATGCAGTGTGCTAAGAATAAAAAGCTTTTTTTAAATTTTTTTTTTTTTTTTGGAAATCCCACAGAATGTTCCGATAGTTACTGTGAAATGTTCCAGTGCAGTGGACGGTGGTTTTTAGTAGCCATGGACTTCAGTCTTTCCTCTTGGTTGTTGCACAGGGAGAGGCGTTCCCTGCAAGAATTGTTTCGTGTTATGAAAGAGAATGACGACTCCGGTGTTCAATTCTCTTCCATGCGGGACCAGACGCGTCCCATGAAAGGAGGCAGGTTCTTGTCAGAGGGTATTGGATAGATGCTGCATCTTGACTTTGCCACATTTATTATGCTCACTCTTTTTTTAGAACAATATTGCATTATGTCGGGTTGGATACTTTGTGATTTGACCACCGATTTAAATAAAATCTTTGCTTCACTTAGATTTGCTGGTTTTATTAGCTGTTAGGAAGCCTCCCGGGCCATGTTGACTGCGTTCCAAAAGCAAGTCACGTAGAACTTTCTGAGGCAGTGACCACTTTATAGGGGGTTGGTGCGGGTGTCCGGGGTGTTGTCTCAGCTGAGGGCGCTGCAGAAATTAACCAGTTTCTGCTGGGTGAGCGAGACTGGTGCGGTGCTGCCCTCTGGTGGCGTGTTTCTGAAACGGTCCGTTTTCTGCGTTGGTTTTGGTTTTGAAGCCGTTTTGCCTTTGGAAAGAAATTTTGTAAGAACGCTTAGTCCTAAAATGCCTTGCTTGACAGATGCTTTTGGAAAATTTTCTATGTCAAGATGATTTAAGGTTTCTGCTGATGTACAAAGGAGTTTGTCAGAATAGGCGCCTCTACCTATCTATAGGGGAAAGGCAGTTTTTTTGGGGACTCAAAAAAACTTGCCTGCAATCTTTGCTTCTGCAGTTTTTTACTTAAATTCGATTCTCCTGTTCAGGGTTTTCAACTGGGACATCCAGGCCGGGGCAGTATGATTCCGTGATCCAGAGTCGGCCTGGCCCGAGTGAAGCCCTGGTTTGACCGCCAGATCCCACTGTAATAGTCAACTTGCACGCCAACCGGTCATTTTAACACCAGACTTTCCTAGGTAACTGCTCTTAGCCAAAAGACAATTTTCTGTTCAAACTGGAAAGTTGCTTCTCTCAGACCAACTAGCCTGATGCTAATTAAAAAGAAAAAAAAAATGCCACCGGTTCCTAGCAAGAGAACGCTATTCACAGTAGCAGGAAACCCAGTTCCGCAGTTTTTAATTCCAAATAGCTGCTGTGAAGTCGTCCACTGCAAACTGCAAAAGTTGGAGCAAGTGCCTACATTTTTGCCATCTTCGGAAAGATCTCATTTTAACAGGTTCCTCTAGGTCACTTGACCTGGCCTGGATCACATTGATTTCTTCCTGTGTCTTCCTACTCCCATTTTGCCAACTTGCCCTCTATGTCTTGTGCCATGATCCCCAATTTTTTTTAACCTATGATCCCGTGCTGGAGCGATAGCACAGCGGGTAGGGCGTTCGCCTTACAAGCGGCCAACATGGCCGACCCGAGTTCGATTCCTCCGCCCCTCTCGGAGAGCCCGGCAAGCTACCGAGAGTATTCGATATGCCAGACACAGTAACAACAAAGTCTCCAATGGAGACGTTACTGGGCCCGCTCGAGCAAATCGACGATCAACGGGAGGGCCTTTACCTTACCTTTTACCTATGATCCCGTGGGATATCGGGGGTCCATATGATACCCCCATTGGAATTAGAATCTGGCCTTTTAAGTTATTTCCAAGCCAACATAATAAACAGTTCTCCTTAATTATTAAGTTTTAAAATCCCCCAACTTAAAAAAAAATGAAGCGGTCTCATTGAAATCCCTTTCTTTGGCCAACTTGAGAATGACAAGCCCATGTGCTATTTGATAACTGAAGGATGAGAAAACAGTGGCCATGACCGGAACCAGTTCTGATAGTTGCAAATACCGGCCCGTTTCCTCTCAGGGCCGTTTTGAACAGATGGGAGATCTGACCCAGGTGTCGCAAACCCAATTTCTTGCTTTCCCGTTATTCTGCCACTTGGCTGCATTTGCGTGTGTTGTCCACCTGGCCACCGTGACTGGCCTCTCCGGCTGGGGGCTGGGGCGCTGGTGGCTTTCTGCCTTTAGCTTTTCCGTCTGGTTCCTGGATGACCCCTCCTCGGGATGAATTAGACCCCTTCAATACCCATGTTCCCTGCAGCGTCACAGTTTCCTAGCAAGAGAACGCTATTCACAGTAGCAGGAAACCCAGTTCCGCATTTTTTAATTCCAAATAGCTGCTGTGAAGTCGTCCACTGCAAACTGCAGAAGTTGGAGCAAGTGCCTACATTTTTGCTATTTTTTTGACCTTCCTTTCCTACAGAGCCATGTTACAATGCAAGATTTGTAATCTCACCACTTCTGGTAATCCGGGGAAGGGAAACTGTTCCCCCTCAGGTTTTTTTTTTTTTTTTTTGCTAACCGCCCACAAGTTGCCTGTCTCTCTGCGCCTGATAACTTCCATCCCGATATGTCCCTCGGATGTATGGAGCGACCGCCAAGGGCTGGACATTTGGGCTTTCCCTGTAAGCTTCAAGTACAGTTGTTTCTTTTCATCCGGGACAGCATTTGATTCCTAGTTCTGTTTTTTTTTTTGGGGGGGGGGGCAAAATTTTCACTTATCTAAATAAAATGCAATCTAATTTCACTTTAATTCCATCTTGGTTGATTTTTCTCTTGACTGTGGCAAGGGCCACCACACTTGGCTTCTCCTTTTGGTCCTGTGCATCCTTTGTGACACTATGTGACAGCTGGGACATGTTAAGTGCATAGAAATCCCACTTACCCAGGGCTGGGGAGGAGGGAGGGAGGGAGGGAGGGAGGGAGGAAGGGGAAGGGTGGGAGAGAAAGAGAGCAAGAGAGAGAGAGGGAGAGAAAGAGAGGGAGAGAAAAGGAGAACCAGAGCGTGTCTTTTGCATGTCTAGAGCCTGGATTCCCACCCGAGTGTCATATAACCCCCTGAGTCCTGTCCAGGAGTGACCTCAGCCTCCAGCATCACTGATTATGCCCCCCCCTCAATAAAAAGAAAACAGGGTGTTTGGGTTTTTTTTTCTTTTTTTGGTATCAGAGACTACTAACTCTTTCATGAGAATCTCATATAATAACGCCCAGAAGGAAAGAGAGTGAGAGTGAGGAAGAAAGAAGAAAAGTGTCTGCCATAGAGACAGGCCAGGGAAGGGGGCGTTGGCAGGAGGGACACTGGGGACATTGGTGGTGGGAAATGGACATAGGTGAAGGAATGGGTACTGGAATATTGTATGACAAACCAAACCATAAACAAATTTGTAACTGTGTTTCTTGTGATTCAGGTTTTTTTTTAAGCCATTTGGGGAAAAAAAAAAAAGCAAAACTACATCAGAAAAGAATGCTACAAAAAGTTGAATGTAATGCTAAGTAAATGAGAACGAAAATTTCTCAGAAATGAATAAAATGATCTAAAAATGGAAAAAAGACAAATCTGACCCCTTCTCAAACCATAAATTATAAAACAACTGACTGTACATTTTAAACACACACACGCACACGCGCACACACGCACACGTCTATCTAGGCAAAGAGAAACATCTGTAAAGCAAAGAAAGTCATGAGTAGGATGATTACTTAACTTGTCAGAAATGCCCAGGAATGTCATAAATAAACTTCAGGGTTCATTTTATGCTACAAAAAGAAGAAAAAAAAAACTCATGAAAATCATAGAAAATCTCGTGCCCCACAGGGAAACGCACTTTCGGTTGCATGTTCTGGAAGCCACACAGCCCTCTGAAATCCACCCAGTGACCAGGGCCACAGTGAGAAAAGCCACTGTGAGCAACGGGGTGGGGACACAGGGACGGGACAGGGTATTTGTAGCTTGCCTCGCACCCAGCTGGCCCAGGCTTCATCCCTGATACTGCAGAGGGCGTCCAGAGCCCTGCCAAGAGCACTGAGCCAGGAGTAAGCCCTGCGCACCACTGGGTTAAAGGGAAGTGACAGAGCCATAGCATAGCAGGTAGGGCATTTGCTTTGCATGCAGCCAACCCAGGTTCGATCCCCGGCATCCCATATGGTTCCCACTAAGCGATTTCTGAATGCAGAGTCAGGAGTACCCCCTGAGCACTGACCCCGTCTCCCCACCACACACACACACAAAAGGTCGGCTGGACCAGAGTGATAGTGCAGTGAATAGGACCCTTGCCTTGCACGCCCCAACCTGGTTCTCGCCCCAGAACCCCAGGAGTAAGCCCTGAGCCTAAACACCAACAATAATTAAAGGCAGGAGGGCTGTTTCGGGGGATAAGGGTCTTGCCATGCTGGTGGCTGACCTAGGTTTGATCCTTAGCACCACCCACGACCCCTCAAGCATGACCAGGAGTACATAGAGTCAGAAGTAGCCACCAGGGACTGGAGTGATAGCACAGCGGGTAGGGCGTTTGTCTTGCACGTGGCCAACCCAGGTTCGATTCCCAGCATCCCATATGGTCTCCCAAGCACTGCCAGGAGTGATTCCTGATTGCATGAGCCAG